ATGGTGATACCTGTGAACTAGGCAACTGCACTGAAGATAGCAATGTGTAATACTATGGCCATGCTTGGAATGCCTGTCATCCAGGACTTCTAAAAGCATACTGCTTCTAATATCAATTATAGTTATGCTCTCTCTAGTAAATGTTTGCTTTAAAAAAGAAAAGTTACTAGACAGTATGCAATGTGTTAATTATTGACTCTTTTTTTTTTTTTTTTGCGGAACCAGGGATTTGAACTCAGGCCTTTGTGCTTGCCAGACAAGCGCTTATTCTACTGAGCCATCTCCCCGACCCCGCAATGTGTTAATTATTGAAACTGTCCTACCAATTTGATTTGAAACTGTTTCATTGCTATTTGTTTCTCAATAAAATTATGGAAAAAAATAATAAATACATAAAAAGGTAATAAATGAAAACAAGCGACAAAAAATTTTAAAAAATAGCTAGAAACTGACATGGATAGAACAAAACACTATTTTGTCTTTTCTTTTTTAAAAAATATATAGTCTTATCATGGTTTAAAATTCTAAACCTCCATGACATGTTCCTTATGAGAAGGGGTTGGCTATTGGTCAAAAATGAGAAAACAAGCTCTCTAAAGCAACAAAACCAAAAAACCCAACTACTTACTTCTTTATTACTTACAAAAGTTTGAAGAAACCAAGATTAGTAGATTGGAGCTTCATTTCTAGAAAATTCTAGATTTTGAAATTATGGGGTAAAATGCTAGCGTTCTTTAATTGATGATTTAATATTTAATCTTTTTATATAAACACAGGTGAGTGAAGCCATCATTGATTGAGAAAGTCTTTCTGTCAGTTACACACACACACACACACACACACACACACACACACAAGTCATCTTTCAGACAGAGTAATCTGGATGTTTTAGAACACCTATGTATCAGATATGTTGATGTCAGAATCTGAGAAATGATAAATAATAAATAATATAACCAGTATGTTAAATACATGACATGTGGATATAATAAAATTCTAATTCAGCTATAAAACAGGATAATTTTGAGTCTTTTGTCAGTAAATGGGTGCAGCTAGAGAGCATACTCCTGAAAAAGAAAAATGGAATCTGAAGGGTACAATATATATTGTGAAAAAGGAATGAACTTATTCAAAAGGAAAGAGTGAGTTGAGGAGAAAGACAGGAGAGGGAGTGGGGAAAAAGGCCTTCTCTATGTATGCAAGCAGGATGGTTTGAACCACTGTACTGTGCATTTCTGCTGGTCTATGGAACAAAGCAGTTAATGCTTTAATTTGTTTTGCCTCCTTTTTTCAATTGTGCTTTTTCTCTTCTTAATTTCTTCTATATTTCTTTCCTTTTTTCTTTCTTCCTCAAATTTTACATGCATATATCTGGCAATATAAATAACTGGTTGGAAGACAACACTATGTATTATAACAAGTAGTGTGAAATTCATATTACTTGGTGAAGGGAAATTCCGTATCACTTATAATTTTTTCTGTTATAATTCTAAATTTTACTCTCTTTTAAAAATAAGGAAATTAAAAAAATTACTCTATGTTTGTTTTTGTTGCTCCTAAAATTTAGGCTGTGGGGAACATCTTCCCCCTTTCCTGGATGGAAGAGTCTATAACTTTTATTTCTGCTCTTATATTACATATTGTTATATGACCTATGGGTCAGTTTGAGGATTTGAAACTATTCAATGTCAGTTTATCACTTTAAATAAAACCCCCTAAAATTAGAATTTCTGAGCTGGAGTGTAGTTCAGTGGGAGA